AAGAAAGACAAATAAGAAAGATTACAGGGTGGCTTTTTGTATTACTTCATCATTTGTGCAGTGCTTTGTCCTAAAAGGCAACCGCCATGGCTTTCAACACCAGTGCGCTACATTCTGAAACCCTTTGCAGTATTTTCCATGCCTTGATTAGCTTTTATGAATAAACTACATGACACTTTGTGGATGGTACATATGTTAGTGGTACTTCAGCTGAACAGACATTGTTATTCTTGCAATAGTTTATGAGATGAGAGAGCAAAAAAAGGGAATCTTTTTAGAAGTAAAGCAGTCTTTGTATAATGCAACTGGCCATCAAAGTGATTTAATTAACCATCTGGATTTGCCTGTGTGGAACCGTATTAAACCAAATGAGCCAAGACAGCTTTGTCTCTCTTAGTCTTGTCTTGCAGGGTGCTATTGTTCTGTAACCCTCTGCCCCACAATTACCAACCTTTAAATTACGATGATCACTCTGAGATCTAATATCTGAGGGCAAGAACTAATTATCCCTCTGTGACTCTCTACTACACTCCCTACATACTATGGCAAATTGTATCAGTTAGCTCACTTTTAAAACTCAATATCACAATTTAAAGGGTATACTGAAAATGTGTTAAAATCCCAGGACTAACACTGTAAATGTGTGTATCATTGCAGACAGCAAGATTAATGATAATTTAAGCTCTGACTTTTCTGACTGTCTAACATATGACCACTTCCTTCCAGACATCCGCATTTTGAAACTCTAAATACCATGATGTAAGTGTTTTCTCTACACTAGTTTCCTTTTCCTCGTGGAAATACAAATCATTCATGCCTGTTTGCATGCATGTGTGAGTGACAGTTCTGAGCCAATTTGGATGGCACGATGCAAACGATATGTTTTATAAATTAATTAATTATTTATAAATGTAATGTAATAACCCTTCATAACAGATGATGACAAAGTTCAAACTGATAATGGGCTGTGCTAGAGGGGGAGAAATGTTCTAGTATCAGAGAAGATAAAAAACCTTAGACCTTAGATTACAACATCTACATTGTCATGTAACTGATATCCCTACAGTAATCAGTAGTCAGTGACGTGGCACATACTTATTCTTTCCTTGATTCTGTTATGTTTTTAGCCATGCTAGCAGAATGTTGTTGGTCTGTTTGTCAGTCAGTTCCTAGAGGATGAATCCTAATGACTGTGGTAATTTTTATCTAATGGCACCTAGATGTATTCCCATCAGCCTCAGCTATAGTTAAAGGTGCCGTAGAATGGAAAACTGTATTTCCCTTGGCATAGTTGAATAAAAAGAGTTCAGTGCATGTATGTTCCCCCAGTCATACATCATAAGATTCCCCATGCCAAAAATTGCTAGATGTTATGTAACATCCGGGAGGTTTACGCCCATTACCAGCCCACGTTCCAGAGTTAGCGGTCATACTCCAGTAGGTCGTGCAGGGCAGTGTCTCACAGAAAGTGCTTTTACGGTTCTGAGGGGAACTAAATATTTTCTGTTTTTCCCTCTAATGTCCTCTGGCAGTTTCTTGATGGACAGATAGCTTTACTTGTTGCTAACACTACGGATTGCTAACTGCTAGCTGTTGCTAACAGCAGCTTCTGTTATCAGCTGGCTCTGAACTGGAGGTCCACAGCTTCTGTACTAATGTTAAAGGTGCAAATACCAACACACCCTCAGAGCACCAAGCTAAGAGCACCAAGCTTCCAGTCCAGGCAGAATCGGCAAGAGGATGGCTAGCTGCATGGCTAACTGAGTAGCTAACTTAGTAGCACCTGCTGTTAGCAGTAGTTAGCTGCTAAAGTAACCAGTAAAATATAAACTCTGTAAATCGGCAAAAGTGGAGGCAGAGCAGCATGAAGACATCAGAGGGAAAACAGGACAATATTTTCTCCATCAACTCTGACACAGTTTCAGTAAAACCACTGGATAAAGTTTTTTTTGTACAGTAATCAATGAGGCCTACGCTGTTTCTTAATACCGAGTTCGCCAAGTTTGGACTTCTGTACTTTAAAGCTTGGACTTGGCAAGTCCGGCTCTGGAGTACAAACTCCCAGGAATGGGAACACGCAGCCCGTCATTCAGCAATTGGAACAGCAGCGGACTAATTGACAGCCGGACCCGTTAGCGGGCGTGACCTCACATTTCTGAAAACGTTGTAGCAAATTTTCAAATCAGCTCTGCCTTGAGAAATCTACCACATATTTGGAGTTTAAACATCTATACGACATAAAAAAACTCTTAAAACTGAATTCCGTGACACAATAAAAGCAGTATTATAAGTTACAGTTGTTAGTTTTCTCCTCCGACATTTCCGCTTTTTGGCGGCGAAATGCATTCTGGGATATCTGGCTATCCGACTTTTTATTTAGAACAGTACTTGGGCTGCGACTGACGACGTTTCACAAGTCCACAAGAACACAAGTACAGAACGCAGATTGTTCTGTGCTTGGGGAAGTTGACCAATCAGAAGCACGTGGGCTGTAAGAGAGGGGATCCTTAAGGAGCTAAAACAGAGTGCTCAAAAAGGGTGAAAAGAGGTGCTGAAGCAATGGACAGTATGAGAAATATAATGTGTTTTTTGAATATTAAAGCATGTAAACATTTTCTAGTAGAAATCCTAAATACAAGTATGAACCTGAAAATGAGCATTCTACGGCACCTTTAATGTTTTGTAGTAATTAGCAAATGTAAGCATGCTAACATGGTAAACTAAGATGGTGAATATGGTAGACATTATACATGTCATGTATACACATAATAAGCATGTTAGCATGCTGACATTAGCATTTAACTCAAAACACCACTATGTCAAAGTACAGCCTCATACAGCCGGCAGCATGGCTGTAAACTCGTTTTCCAAATAAATGGATCAGTAAATTAAAGAGATTCTATGAACGTAAAAGCTTCTTAATACTTATATACTGTAACTTTAGTTCCACTTCAAACTGTCTCAATCAGCAAAAAGGCCTTGTAAATGTTCTATTGTAAATGTTCTATTGTAAATGTTCTATTGTGAATGATCTGTTTCAGTTGTTAATGCCTGGCTGTTTGAGGTGAAACAATAATATTGATAATAGTGATATAATGAAAATCAGGACATTTTGATAAATTAATCCTAAATGTAACATAGAACCTTATGATTTGTCTCAACACCAGCTCTAAATGCAGAACCCTAAAGTGAGCATGTAATATTACACTATAAACGTGATCATTAAATGCTGGATTTGTATCTAATCTACTTCACGTTTGCCTCTGTATCCACCATTTTCTGCAGCCTATTGTGTTCCACCAGACAAAAGACTGTAAATCTGACATGACATGCAAAACAAACCATGCATCTCTGCAAATTATTTCAGGCAATAAATAGAGTGTGAGCTGGCACGTTGTACTCTATGGATAATCTTTGTTCAGTCTTTCAGATGATAAGCATTCCTAAACACAAACAGGCAATCTCACCATGCATAACAGATGTGCATGGTCTCCTTGAGGATGTGAGTGCATATGTGTGGACGTGCGCATGATTCGACTTGTCATGATCAAAGTACTCAAGCAACATTGTTTTTGCCACAAATAGACAAATGTTGGTTTGACAGCCAGTTTGGATTCAGATTGGGGAAGTACAGGAAAGCACAAAGACAAGTCTTTTTTCTCAGTTTTGTTTTGTTGTGTGTTTATGCGTGAAGGAGACAGTGGGTGATCTAAATCTTCTAAATCCTGCCTCACTTTGAGAAAATCCCTCTCCATTGTGTCCATTGGAAAGCTCCAACACTCATATTTTTCAGACCTCCTTCGCATACTGTCATTTCAACTTGTGTCATATAATCATCACAGTTTTTGAATCTCAAATGTTCAAAGAAATTGTGTCTGTAGCAAGACCACAGCCTGATAATCATTCTAAATTGTTATTTTTGTTTTAACTTGCCAACAAAGATCTGATTAGCTTGGATGTTTCAATAATCATTCAGCTTCATCAGATCTATTGAATGACTGAAATTAATGTGGCGGTCTAATACTAGGCTACCAAGACACCACACCTGCACTTGCATTCTCATGGTTAGAGGTACATTTTCTATTTTGCTGTTTTTGCTGTTTCAGTTCATCTTTTCCTGTGCTGTGTCAGACTACTGACTTGTGTAAGAATTTCCTTTTAAGAAATGACAATATGGTTAACAACAGAATCCCAATGAAGTTCCTATTGGTGAACTCTGTGGCTTGACATCATTGTGCAATGTTTGAATGTCACATGTGATGCCATTGCTCACCACTCCTATTAGCTCATTCACTGTCAACAAGACCATTCAGCACACCAGCGCCGAATCCTGAGCTGGGTGCATTTTTGGTGGAACAGTTCACATTCTTTATGAACTCACTGTAATCTTTAATTACCACCTGTGAATATGTGACAGACATCCTTAATGTCCCCATCATTTTACGTGTTTGGGGTCAGAAAAACAAGTAATTGCACTCTTCTCATGATACCATCAGTCATGTGAACTGACTCACAGCAGTGAAGCTTCAGCTACAGAAAAAGATCCTTGTGCTTTTCCAAATTACATTACATGTTTACTTTCTGTATATCCACTGAGCTTTTTAGAGAACACTAGTTTTGGCAATGACATATATTGAGATTTAAAACACAAAACACCTAGATGCAGATGTGACAAAATCCTGCCGACTGTATTGTTGTTGTATTGTGGATGTGAGGAAACCACAATTAAAGTAATTGCAGGAAACTGGGAGAAATGATGATCATGATTAATTTTTTCTAACTTTTTTTCTTGCAATGGTTAAAGTACCATTAAGAGGAGGGCAACAGGCTGCAAGTGCAGTTTAAATTATAGTGATAGAGAAAACTGCCAAAACCAATTCTAAGTGAAAGAAATAAGGGATAATTTGGAAACTAATAAATCTTATTAGAGGAGAATGGGCAGATACTGAGTCAAAAAGACACACGGTATGCTTATGCTAGTGTATGATAACACAAACTAATTCTTTGCAAGAGGTTTATTAAAAATATGGTATAAATAAATATGACACTTCAGGTTACATCATTCAGATGAGAGTGGAATACACTGGATAGAGACATTTCTCTTTAGTACTTAATGATTTCATAACACACAAGGTTACAGTGGTTTTCTTTGACAGCAATTTCTCATCTCCCATAGCTTGGCAGAGCATGTCAGAACAGTACCTTTAATTTACAGTAGATACATCATTACAGTGTCACAGCAGATAATGTCAAGAGACTGAGGACACAAGTAAAACATGCTTATCAGTGTTAAATAATTAATATAAATACCAGCACTCATTTCAGTCAAATAATATCTCAGTTTCTTGTAATGAGTCTACAAAAGACCTGTCAGTGTTTTTAAACTCACTGGGCCAAATATTTCTGCAAGAGAGTTACAAGTTGTCCTGTTGTCAGATATTTAATGCCTCACCCCAGAAGGTCATCCCCAGTCCCAGACTAATGAATTTCAGGGCTAGCTGCTCAATCTCCTAAAAAGAAGGTAGACCCCTGTCTATTCAACTGTACGGGGACGTTATTACAGAATATACTTACTATTGAATTTTAATCACTGAGGTGAGGGTGGGTAAAAAAGCAAAAAAGATTAGTGTAATCTTTAAGATCAGTGCCTTGATTTTTTGTGCATGCATTTATATAAATAATGTGCATATTAAAATAAAAAACATATGAAAAACAGTGCTAACATTTTAATCAGTGTGATTTCATTAGGGCTATAAAAGCAAAACGTTTTAATAGTGGTACAAAACCAGCCATTTCAATGTCCTATTTCAATATACAGCCATACTGCGAAACAAAAATGTAAATTTTATAATATTCAGTTCTGTAATGTTACACAAAGACCTCGATTACTGACAACACATGCAACCTTCATTAAGGTAACATGAAGTAAATGACTGTTAACAAAATACCTGAGTTACAAAAAGTTAATATACTATAATATATAATACATACAACAACTATATAAAATCTGCACAATCAATTGAAATGCTTAGACGAGACATCTTTGTGCCAGTGTCATTCTTAGTAATTCACAGTTTCAAGCCGTTAGCATCATCTTCCACTCTGATTGCCTGACCATAACCCATAATGGAAGAGACTGCAACGTGCATGAGGACCAGATAACAATGCAAGTGATTAAACATACATTAGGCACCAAACATAGGTTATAATTTACCACACTGATTATTACACTGTAAATGCTCAAGTGAACAAAATCTGTCCCACCAGCTCAATATACAGCAGTGTTTGGTGTTGGTTTGTAAACCTGTGTTTCAATGGATTGTGTGACTCAAACAAAACCAAAGCTGTCGTGACGCTAATTAATATATTACCGAAGGACTTTGGTCATAGTGGTAATCTTCTTTTTCCGTCCTTAAAGCTGCATGAATCAATTTCTGACCACTAGGGGGCAGAAAAGCTAGAAAATAAGCTTACAGACACACAGCCTTGACATACAGTCTTAGGGCCTCAGTGCCTTAGTGCTAAGTTGTTATTCCTTAAGTTAAGTTGCCTAATTACAGCACACATTCCATCCCATTGAAGTTGTGATTCTAGCCATATGGTGACCTCTTAGCCTCCACCAACTCTTGAAAAAACTTTAACTGGCTAAATGTTTCTCTAAATTCTCTCTAAATTTTCTTGCTTAGCAAGTTGCTCATTTTGTCTGGTTGCCATTAAGTGATTGCTGTCTGCTACTGCTGGAAACAGAGCCATGTGGTAATGTGCAGTAAAAACCAGAAGAACGAGCTGAGGCTAAAAAATCCCCATAAAACATATTGATTAATGCAACTTTAAGCTCATACCCTGCCACAAGTAATAATTCACTGCAGCCTTATTTAAGCACACTACCGCATTTTAATCTGTTATCAAAAGCTGTAACGGTATCCTCTCTTAACACATTTAGCTACAAGTTGGTTTTGTGGAAGTTCACACCCAGTACTGATTCTTCTGCAGAGTGGGAGTCGCGGTTTGAATAATTTGTGAAGATGACGGACAACCATTATTCCAGGAACTTACGAGCATGCTTGAATCAGTGGTGTTATAAGCTGAGCCCTGATTTGGTGTCAATAACCGATCAACAACAGGGCTACCTGGGCAGGTGTGGTTTAATGGAGTGACAGTCACTGTGGGAACTGTTGTGCTCCTCTGGGTTTGACCCTGGTAGGACTGACTGCTTGGAAGCCCAGTGGAAGGTGGCTCCTTTGGTGCAGCAGTGCTCTGCTTCCCTTGCCTGTGATGTCGAAGAAAGACAACAAGGACAACAAAGATGATTACAAGCAGCAGCAGGGCCAGCAGTGGTAAGATAACCAGGAGCGGACTGGAGGTTTTTTGAGGGTAGGACTCCACACGGACTGGTGTGTTTCTAAAGGGAAAACCCTCTGTTTCAGGTGTTGGTTTGCCAAGAGTTGTACTGAAAATGCTAGTTCTGTTGGAGTTTCCCCATCGGTTGCGTCCCTTGAACTTTTGCTGGTTTTTGCTTGGTTGCTGGGTTGAAAGGAAAGCTGTAGATAGGACTTGTGAAGCAGTTCCATTTCTGGAAGTCGGGCTTGGTGTCTGAGGAACAGGTGATGTGGTTGGGACAGGACTCTTTGTGGTTGGAAAAAGTGCTGGATCATATGGCACAACTGTAAAATGGAAGTCCCCTTTAGCAGGTTGGATGTTATCAGCTTTCAATACAAACACCACTGAGTCATTTAGCTCCTGAACTCCAGTCATGTTGGTATTCAGCTCCAAGGCTACCTTCTCCTGCATCACCTCCTGAAAGGTGAAGGACTCAACTGGTGCAGCTTTCCTGGACATTTTAGGTTTTGTCCAAACCACCTTCCCATACTTAGGATGGGAGATAATTTCAAATACAGGGTCACTACCACTGATATTAGCCAGTTCAGATGCATTAAGGATTCTTGTATTTAGTTTGACAGCAATCCCATTGGGAATCCTCAAACCTTTGCCAACCTGGATCAAAGGTCTGACAGTTATGTTAAGCACTTGGCCAGTCAGATTTGCCTCTGAAGTGAAAGCAGTGTACTCAAAGCTGTCTTCGGCAGAGGAAAGGGAGATCATATGGTAGGACAACCTTCCAGAGTGTAGGTCCTCCTGTTCAAACTGTGTAACCTCTTGGTTGTCATACAGAACTTTGCCAAAGTTTGGAGGCCTTGTAATCTGGTAGCGAATGGTGATGTTTTTCCCATTGGTCTCAGCAGCAAGGTTGTTCTGTGTCAGTGATACTGAAGTCTTGCCTTGCTCCAGTGTCAATCCAGTGTCGTTAACCAGAGAAATGGTGATTTCTGTCACTTCTAGGTTAAAGAGTTTATATATTGGTTTATGATAGCCATCTGTGACACTAAAGTAGAACACCCCCGAGCCAGAGCTTCCATCATGGATGAAATAGACGCTTCCATTATCGATTTGGGCTTGGGTGAAGGCCACTATCGACTCATTCAAACTTCCTTCAAGAGCTAGGTAACCATTGTTTGGCTTACTAATCACAGAGTACTTAATATCATCAGGACGATTGTCTAAGTCTTCAACTTTGAGATTCTCAGGCCTGAGGGCTACTGTATCTCCTTGCACCACCCTCAGACTTGGAGCTTTGGTTTTTAGCAAAGGTGGCTGATCATTTACAGGGGTGATGGTAATATTAAAACGCTCCTCAACAACATCATTGTCTTCTTGAGGGCGTTGCGCTGTTTTTCCTTTAGGATTGAGCCATGCACTGAATACAAAAGAATCATGAGTTGTCTCCGAGTTGTCATGCTTGTAGATGATACCGTATTTGTTAACAATGAACTGGGAGAAGTTAGGTTTCTCCTTGGTGAGGTTTCTCTCACCCACCACTATGACACCATGCTGAGGCAGAGATGTCACCTGGAACCAGACCTCATGGGAGCTCCGCTGAGGCGTTGGCAGCTTGGACATCAGGTTAGTGGCATCCAGCTTGGATTCATCAATGATGACACTGTCACCTTCTGTTACCTCGGCACCTAGCACCAAGCAAACACTACATTAATCACCAAGGACAACATTGTTAAACATTTTAAGAAAGAAAAACATGAACAAGAGCATAGTCAGTGGATGGCAATGTAATGCTGTGTTCACACCAAGAACAAAGCAAATTTTCAATTTGTGTTACTCACGCAAGTAATGTGGTAAAGTTACAACATTTGTGATCCCCAGAGGATAAAGCCTACTCAGTTTGGTGATCTCATGACTTTACCTCTAGTGCCACTATGAGGTTGACATTTGTAGATTTGAGTGAAATGTCACACTATTGGATGGATTGCCATGAAATTTGGTGTGCACCTTCATGTTCCCCTCAGGATGAACTGTAATAACTCTCTCTTAATCTGTCATGTATCACTGTATCACCCAGCTGTACTTTGGGTTTAGTGCTAATTAGCAAATGTTAGCATGCTAACTCGCTAAACTAAGATGGTTAACATAGTAAAAAGTTTACCTGCTTTACATCAGCAGGCTAGCATTATTATTGTGAGCAGGTTAACATGCTGAATTTAGCATTAATCTTATAACACCACTGTACAGCCACTTCGCTATAGACTCTTGTTCATACCGGTGTTTGCAAGCAGGACTGTGTTGTGTTCAGATCCAGTATTCTCATAAGAAATATCTATTTTGAAGATCTGGCTGTCCAGAGAAGTAGGCGGTGATGCCACAGAGAAGGTCATGGAGTCCATGGCATTCCAGCTCACTGACTCAGTGGGGGTCTGAATGTAGACAACCTCTTTCCTGTCCACCTAAGGTACAAACACACCGCAGACCACAATCCAAAATTAATTCAGCACAACATGCAGATCCCTAAAGTGAACTGATGCTTGAATCAACTGTATAAATAGTTCGGTGGCCTTTATAATTCTTCATCATTCTAAAAGACATTACTACAGTATGTGTAAGATTTCATCATTAATTAAAATCTACTTTGCTCAGCAGTAAATAAAGTACACAGAGCATCACATCTTTCACTGTGTCAGATCATAAACCATCAGAAATAATTGATTACATAAAAGCATTACATATTCCATTCAGCTAAAGAAGTGCAACATCAACTTCCTGAATGAGGATGCAGAATATCTATTATTCATACCATGGATATCTGGCAACTTTCCACATGAACAGAGGAACCCTAATGTTTAATCTTGAACTGGTTCACATCACTTGCATTTTATTTTTAAATATTCTTATGGATAATCAGAGAAAGGTATTGATATGACCTCCAGTTCTTCACTCACCATGTCTTGTGTGAAGGTGGATATGTCCACAGTTGAATTGTCAGCCTGCCTCATCACCAGACGCCCCAGTTTAGGATGCCGAATCACACTGAACGTAATGATGCGATTTGAGGTGTTGCTGATATCATTGGTCACTGCATGTAAATCCTCATTTGTGATTTTTGTGGAGGAGCCTGGAGGAAAGACGTGAAATGGAATTAAAAAAAATAAAGAACTGGCTTGAATAATTGATCACGGAACTTGATCTGGAAAAGAAAAATAGTTTTTCTTGTCTGGTATTCAGTTTCAGTTTGACCACGCTGGTAAAACGCTTGTGTGGCTGCATCAAATGTTGCAAGTTTTCCCCTCTGGAAGGATTTCACATCTTTTTGACTGCAAATTATGCAAAACAAGCTCTGAAATAAACCGACGAGAGTCCTTTGATGTGTCAAATAAAAGCGGCACTGCAGACATCACAGACTTTTTACAGCACTGTTCAACTGCAGTGCAGGGTGTTACATAAAATCCAAACAAGAAATTAAAAGTGGATCTGCTCCTTGCAGGCACAGAAATCTTCCACTTGGGGAAAATGTCAAGTGAAACATCTCTTGTGCATGATGACGAGGGCTGACTACTGAGAGCTTCTTTTCTTCTTAAGATTAATTACATAGATTTCCATAGCTCTGCTGCCACTGTGAAGAGGGTCCTAAAAAAAGAGTGCTGATAAATGATGGAAGGCAACGATAGAGGGAAAGAAGGGTTGAAGCACAGTGAAATTCATTCATCACTTGTGGTGAGCACTCCCACCATCCTTGTCTGTCCCTCATGGGAAATTTCCCTCTTCAAGGAAGAGGGAGCAATGGGCTTTCTTGTCTTTTTACAGTAAAAAAAACATCTTGCTCTAATCTAATCTGTACAGGAAGGGTTTTGCTGTATTGTCAGGTATTTGTGCAGCATTTTGTGATGGTAGTAAATGTAGAAATGCTCACACTATCAATATCCTTTTCCCAAACTCCTGTGAGTTGTTTAGTTATGCCTGCAAGATGAGAACCACACTTTGGGAAATTTTTAATTTGATGCAAGAAAAAACATGTGTGAAACATGCTAAGCACTGCACAAACAACACACCACATTATTCACTAATAATAATGATGAAAAGGGATTAGAAGAATACAGAAACATGGAACTGAGAGAATCCATATTATAATATTATTAAGACGCCACTGTACTCCATCAGAAGTGCATTGGCTCCTCAACCATCACTCCAACCAAGGTGGTGAGAAACTTGTTGTCATGACTGATGACCAGCTGTCCTTCTCTGACCATGCTGCCGCTGTCTCTCAGTTGTACCACTTTTCTCTATGCAACATAAGAAAAATCTGGCCCTACTTTAATCAGTACGCCACCCAGCTTCTGGTACAGACCATGGTTATCTCTCACCTCGACTATTGCAATTCCCTCCTAGTGGGCCTTCCAGCTTGTGCAGTGAAACCCCTACAAATGGTTCTGGTCCACTACAAAAGGACTCATGGCACTCTATTAATCAGGGACCTGCACTGGCTACACGTGGCCTCCAGAATCAAATTCAAGTCACTAATGCTTGCATACAGAGTGACTACTGGGTCCATCTACCTAAACTCCATAATACAAGCTTACGTTCCTTTTCGGCCACTGCGCTCCTCCAACGAACGCCGCCTGGCTCTGTCACCCCTACACACAAAGCAATCCCAGTCCCGGATGTTCTCATCTGTGACACCACGATGGTGGAACGAGCTACCACACGCCACCAGAGCAGAGGCGTCCCTCTCTAACTTCAAGAAGCTTCCAAAAAGTCAGCTCTTTCGAGAACACTTCCTCTTATAACATCTCTAATTCCTAACATGCACTTCCTCTGCTCTTCTTCTTCTTCTTCTTCTTCTTCTATCTCCTTACATTTCTCTTGTACCGATTGCACTATTCGTTTACTCTTACTTACTTATTCTTACTCTTAAGCCACAGAGCCCTGATCTCAACATCATTGAGTCTGTCTGGATTGTATGAAGAGAGAGGAGCAACTGAGGATGCCTAAATCCACAGAAGAACTGTGGGTAGTTCTCCAAGATGTTTGAGCCAACCTACCTGCCGAGTCCCTTCAAGAATTAAGTGCAAATGGTGGTCACACAAAATATGGAATTATTTGGATTTTTCTTCAGTTCACTCACTTTGCATTTTGTTAATTGATAAATATAATCTATTAACATGTCAAATATTTGAAAGAATTCATACTTTACAGCATTTTTTCCACACCGGCCTGAAACTGTTGCACAGTACTGTGTTTTCTTTTCCTTTCTTCTGAAGCCAACCCACGCCCTTGGTTATCCCCATATTTAAACACTACTGTGTCTCCCCCCTCTCCATATGTCCATATGACAGTTTTTTACTCCACCTTCAAGTGTGGCCATTAGAAATAACTATGAACACGACATGTCTTCTGATGTGGTCGGAAAAAGTCCTTATGTTCCCACTGTGGACATGTAACAGTTGCATTAAATAATTACTTTTGTGTATTCAAGAAATTTCCTCATACCAAGAATCACTTCTGCAAGTCTTGTGTGGTGTTTGCAGGCAATACTAATAAGTTTTCAGGTAATCGCTGGTTTCTTAATAAGGCATATGAAACCATTTAGTGAGGAGTCTTTGCCCAGTTTTACAGAAAGCACCCAGACATTTGAGTACTTTGCAAGGAAAAGAAAAACTTTAATCTCACCCCACAGTGCAAAAGTGTTTCATGTCACCCCTCACCCCATCAAAACCCTTTATTGTCAGTTAAAGTTCCCATACCACCCAACCCTACCCCCTCCCTCTGCCCCGCCTGGCACAAAGCACAAACAGGGCTGCCTCAGACAGACAGTGGCACAGCTTTTCAAGTACCCACTCACCCTGTGGCTGGGAAGCTCGGCAGAGCGTGCCAGTTGGCAGTTTGCTGCCCTCACTATCCTTTCCCTCTAACTTACCAGACCACTGGAAATCTCAGAAAATCTTTGAATGTGTTTGCAGACACATGCGACAAGTCAGCCTATTTTTAGCTCCTGAGTATTAAAAGTTGCATACCGTGTATCAAACCATTAAGCAATGGCAGCAGGTGATTCACCAGTCTGGTATTTGCGTTATTACTTGGCTGTTGGAAAGGTCCTGAATTATTTAACCAAAGGAATTCTGGGAGGACAAAGTGTCACACACACGCACACACACACACACACACGCACGCACACACACACACACACACACACACACACACACACACACACACACACACGCACGCACGCACACACAGACACACACACACACACACACACACACACACACACACACACACACACACAATCTTAACTGAGCCCTTAAAATAGAAACCAGAAAAGAGGAAACCAATACTTTGCTTATGGATAATAATAGTACAACTAAAAAGAGTCAGGGTGCATAGATGACTAGAACACAGAAAAAAATGTTTCAGTTCATTTTTTGGGAGCAGCTATAGTTTCATCATGACACAAAAGCCTATAAAAGAGAAATTATATTTTCTTGTAATCGGAAAAAACACAGCTAAAAAAGATGAAGATAAGCACAGGTAGCAGGTGTGGTCTGAAGTTTGGTTTGTACCAAAACTCTAGATGGACTCCAGTCGGCAAGATGAGAGGAGAGGACACTCTGTGTCTATGTGTCTGTATATATGTATACAAATAACTGTATATATATTTTTTTATTTTATATGTTACCATGTTTTAATATACACTTAGTGTAGCTTGAAGGGACTACAAATTTTGTTTCGTTATGCATCCTTCTGCTGTATAATGACAAATAAATAGCCTTGTACCTTGTACAGTCCCTGCCATATCCACGATTTATTGCAGTAACAATACAATATCTAGTGAAACTCTTCTCTGCATTTAACCCATCCTAAGCATTAGTAGCAGTTGGCAGCCACTGTACAGCGCCTGGGGGCCAACTCCAAGTCTAAGCCAGTGCCTTGGTCAAGGGCACTGACAGGAGAATTAACCTAACATGTATTTGATGGTGGGGACACCGGAGCACAGGGGGGGGAGAACACTTTATGATAAGGCTCTACACAGAGGTCGATTTTACCTGGGAACACCTTGAGTGGACGGTTTTTCTCTAAACTGAGAATTAAGGCTCTGGCAGTGATGCTGAAGATCTGCCTGGGAGTGAAGTTCACGCCATCGTTGACTTGGAAGTTAAATCCTCCAGACATGGCACCTGGAAATGGAAAGAGACAAAAAAGCTCCAACTGTCAAGAAGACTCCTAGGCAAAGTTGTTAAGATTATGTCTGCTGGAATGAATAAATAAACACCTGCATCTTAGTTTTGTGATTACATGTTGTTTTACAAATGTACAGTTAAGCTGCGCGTGCTTTCTGCAAAATACACACAAAAGAGATCAGCATTCCTGGTGCTGAAAAACTGCAATGCGAGCAAGAAATTCTTATTCTACTAGGAAATACTCAATCAAAATCTATACTAGTGTACGTGTGTGTGTAAAAAAGAAAGAGACATTCTGCAACATATAGGATAGGGTGTGTCCCTTACACACTATTATTACACCCTTTCCTGGTGGTACAAGTGCAGGCAAAGAAAAAAGTAGCTCAGAACAGTAAGCAGAACCCTAATCTGAGACTGACACTATCAAATGTTTACAGACCGTATCAACGATTTTATAGAGTTTGCAGACTAAAGTATTGTCACCTCCAACCTGGCTCTCAGTCAGCTCTGTCTCTATCAGTGTTGCAAGCAATTTAACGGCTAATGAAGAAAGCTGCACAGTGTTCCTGCTGACGACTCACTGTGAGTTGACACAAGTAGAAAGAAAATAGAAACATTAGGAATTATCAACAGCATCTTCTAGTGGATGCAAAATGAACAACGAAAACAAGTTATCTTGAATCAGAGAAACAGAGATTAATCTGATTGGACATTAATGCATTGAAACCAAAGCGTGCAGGTGAACAAAAAGACGATTACATTTTGCAGGTTGCAGTCAGGACTGGGCAATATGATCAAAATCAAAGTCACAATTTTAAAAACAATCCTTTTCCAATTGTATTTTGTTATCAATCTACATTACAGTACTTCTGCTGGTTTATTTAAGGAACAATGTTCTTTTGTTAATCATTCCATCAGACAAAATAAAAACATGAAATCATTGCAGTATTTTCCCTTCTGTTGTCTGGCTTATGCAGTTTGTATTTATGGCGCCGCAGATGGCCGCCTCTGGATTACGCGCCGTAGTGCTTTTTGAGTTTTTGTTGATAAACTCTGTTTTCTGCCATCCCTCTCTGGTAACATTTACCAGAAAAGAGCTCTTAAACATTGAACTTTCCACTGCTCACACTGTTCCACTGCTCTTTATCGAACTTTATGGAACTTTCTCTAATTTTATTATTGTATTATTGTTTAAGTAAGCACATGGTGAGCAATGTACAATTCCGAGTCAAATTCCTCGTCTATATATCCCTGGCAAATAAATCTGATTCTGATTCTGATATATGAAAAATAAGCATTTAATCAAATGAAATCAAACATAAATTCCGGCTTTAGTTATTGACGAAAGTCTCTATGGGCTGCTCTACTGTCGCGGCGTTTTTTACTTTAGCAGGTGATAGATAAACTGATTTTACCTTTGTGAACAAACAGTAGCTGTCCCTGGTCTACATGTGCCTGGGTGAAGTTGAGCACTGGCTTCATGGGGCCAGTCTTCAGGGCCAGGTGTCCGTTGCTGGGTGGGGTCACCATGAAATGGAGCTCCTCTGGGGGTGTGTCCAGGTCCTGTGCTCTCAGATCCCCCGGCCTGATCTCTGTCACTGAGGACACCCACACCTGGACACAAGATGGACAAGCACAAAACAGGTACCACCTGTAATCTCCATGAAAACAGACAGACAGACAACATGGGAATAGAAATGCTTTGTTGGACAAGGTTCATTATGTCGAGGATAACGGTATTTGACTATTGCGGTTTTGGGTTTTTGTTTGGTGTTTGGTGTTTTATTTTCAAATTGTCTGCCTCCTGTGTCTTGTCTGAACTTTGGAGCTATGGCCCCGGCCTTGTTTGAATAATAGAGCTTTTTTAAGTTATACATTTTTCTGTTTTTCATTTAATACACTTGAAAAACTGATCCAGCTTAAAGTCTGCATTTGTGTCCAAATACCAGGTTTTCCCTGCCTTTGCACACAGCTTAATGTCAGTTTGACATTTATTTTGATATATGGAATGAAATACTGTCATATTTTGTTATAAAAAGGGCACAATACTTGCTACATAAAAGCTTACTTCTATTTGTGGATGTCAGTCTTTAAATTAATCTGCATAATTCACGTGTTCTAGAAATTTAATATTAAGTTAAGTTGTCTGAAGGTTTATGTCTTATACTTTTTTCATAAACTACAATCAGCTATTTAATGCCTATTCGCTGCACAGATATATTAAAATTTAAATGGAAGCAAGACACATAAAACGCCAATGGAAACAGTGCTTGTCATTCATCACCACATAAAATGGATCCAGGATGCTGTGGGTGTGAGTCCCGCTGCAAAGTTATTTCACATTTTTCTCTTTCTTTGTTTTCTCCTGTCATTTTTCTCTGTAAAGTAAATCATCCAACGAAGCAGAACTGCTATAAAAGTAATGTCTAACTGAGGCACCTAAAGACGGCATGACTATGGAAAAATGTCACTCTGAGTATCACTCAAGTCACGCTCAACAACTTAAACTGATCAAAATGACTTGACATCTCAGGAATAAATATAGCTGGGAAGAATATAAACACAGTTGGATGTAATGCATGTAGGGTGAGGCATAGTTACAGTAAGTTCCTGCTTTCATGTAAATTTAAAAGCCTCAAGCTAACGTGAAGGAACAGAGCAACTCATTGACACAGAACAAAAAACTACTGAACCGTGCAGACGCTTGACAACAAAGAAAGAGCTTCTACAGTCCAGGCCAGAGAAACTATTGCATAACACACCATTGTCCCTCACACAGGTTGTAATTCCACAGTAATTACTGGAAGGCTGCGACAAAAATCACCTTTTATACAGCAGACATTTTGACTCCAGGAAAAGCACAGGTGTTACTGTTAATATTAACAGTGGCTCTGTGCTAATGAAGAGTCTCAGTAAGCCATGATAGTGAGTGAACACCGCTTTTATTACTGTGACACTGATGCAAAGACACACTGTCTTCTATGATAAAGTCCAATTTGTATTGATGATGCAATGCCTACTGTTACAAAATATATACTGATGCATATATATTACAAAATAGGATTTAGGAATAGGATTTAATCCTAGGATTTAGTAAAATCACCATGACACCTAATTTATTTATTAATATGATTAGTTTGCATTTTCTTTCTTTTGTGGAAGTTAAGGTCAGGTTTCAATTAGCACCTATAAACACCACATGCACCCACCACATGGGACAACACACCCATCATGTCGGTCCCACAGCATTGAGTGTGTGTTCATCTAGTGGGAAATGACTACACCGCCAATAATCTCCCATTTAACAGGAAGTCACAGCCGGATCTGTCTGAAGAACAACAAAACGTGCCAATACCTAAACTGTTTTGATGTTAATTTGAAGTACCAAAATTGTGGTTTTATCGCACCTGCATAAATGTTCCCTTAAATCTGTTTAAATCCTTTTATTTAATGACATGTTGCTAGGTCTTAAGCTTCCCCTACTGTTGTCAGAAGGTAACTTAACCTTAATTCTCATACTCCCGTGCTCTAGTTTCTTCCCACCATCAAAAACATGTATGTTTGGTTATTTCTCAAGCCAGTAAATGTTACCAAGCCTTGGCTTGGACCTGCAGTGGATCCAAGCCAAGGCTTGCAGGTGCTTACAGGTTGCAGTGCAGGTGCTGATGAGAGCGGTGAGAGTGAACCAGAACAGTAAAACAAAACAAGAAAACAAAATCAGCGAGCTGAAAGATACTGAGACACTCAACCGAGCTGAGGAAACTGCAAAGTGTTAATAATTATCTGCAGGTTTTTCACTATAAGGGACAACTTTAACATTACACTTAGTTATCTGACTAAGTCTGAACGGAAAATACTGATTACAGCAACTTTAACTTCAATGTTATTGGTAGGTTCGGTCACAAAATCTACTCTAGTTTTGAGTTAAAGGTCTGGAGTGTATTCTCTTTTACAATACAAATTACAGACTCCTCGTTTTACAAATGACTGCAGATTTCCTGTTAGTACAGTTTTTTTTGCAGGCCATACAAGTGCAATGCAGCTACAGGATATGTAGCATTTTATGTTAAGAGTGTGATCAGAATAACATCTCAGAGTCACACATTGCAAGTTCTCGCTGATGTTCTCTGAAAGTTGGTTAATGTGTGAAAGAAGTGAAAATTGTAGGGTGAGGGGAAAGAGAAAAAAACGACGATGTATAGCAAATCATTGTATGATGCATAAGAGTGTGACAGAATCTGAGGGTGGGTTTTGAGTTTTAAAACCACACCAAATCAACCTAAAATGACAAAAGGTGAGCTGGCTTCTCACTTGGCTGTAACTTACGGGAACAGAAGCATGGGGTACTTTTTTCAATTAGTGCCTGTAAACGCCGCAACCACGCACCACATGGGATGCCACAGACGTCACATTGGTCCCACAGCATAAAGTCTCCCCACATGAGAACTCTTGCCACACATGTGAGTGTGTGTTGGTCAAGTGGGAAATGACCACACCTCCAATACTACCGCATTTAAGGAAGTCACAGCAAGATCTGTTTGATGAACAACATCAGTTTGATTCAGCAAATTCAAATAAAAGACACAAGATCAACAGCCTGCACAAAATAAAAAATGTTCCCTTAAATCTGTTTAAATCATTTTATTTTATGACACGTTGCTTGGTCTTAAGCTTCCCTCCTGATGTCAGAAGGCCACATAACAAAATAATTGAGAATTTAACTTCAGGGAGACTCTGCTCACAGCTCTATGTGACAATTCAATAAATTCTAGACCCACTTTCAAAATCCTGACAGTTACACTTCAATTTCATCTCAGAAAACCACCACAAACTGCTGATGTGCCACTGCGATGGCATTATTTCTAAAAAACAGAAAAAAGATCAAATGTATGTCAATTAGTACTGCCACAAATACAAAATCAAGGCCTTGCAGTGGATAATAGTTTACTGGTTTCAAACATGTTGGCAAATTCTGCAGTATTGATAGATAACTCAAGTTCTTTGTTGGCATAACTTAGAAATCACTGGATGACGTTTGATTAAAGAAATTAATTGTTTATATTTTTAAGACAGACTTATACATTTTACAGTAGATTTTATTTAATTCCTCGGCATTTGCCAAGATTATATAACATTATATAAATGTAATTCCTGTGGCATAAATGAAAATCTGATGAATCTATTTAAAATGTTGATTCAAAAAACATCCAAGTTGTTTCAAAACTAACTTTCTAATAAATTAAATGAGGGACCAAGTAACTGACCTGTAAATCTCTCCACAGTCTAATTTTGAGACTCAACATCTGCAGTGGCAGAGAGCCCCCTTGTGGACACCGAGAATCCAGTTCCCTTCCACCCAACATCAAGTAAAAGATGATATAATGATTAATGATCGTATTTGTGCAGATCAGTTTGTTATTGACTATCATCGAAAACCATAAACAAACTCCCCTTCAAGGTTATTCACAAAGTTTCTGATCCAAATTATTTTTATTTAACTGCCTCCTTGATGTTCGCACTTCTCTGAATCTGCAGGATCCCCGAGGAATTTGAAGCATTTGGGGCAAAGCCGCGCAGACAATAGAGACCTACACATGAGCCTCTCTTTCCAGCTGGACCTCCTCCAACATTAGCCACTAAAGCAAGTCAGCACTGCTTAGCACATAGACACAAACGACAACGTTCCGTCTAATTAACGAGTACCACATTAAAAACATATGTAGGTAGAAGTGCTTTTCACAGACAGGTAATAAATAACCAGTAGGGTTTATCTGGGTGAGCACATAGTGATGAGGGATGTGTGAAGCAGATGAAACTGGACTGAACTGAGGTCATGTTGTCACAGTGTTTGCTATTTTCAGGTCATGCTATCATGCCATTCAACTAAATTCAAGCGACATATTTTCAGCAGCAAGACCTTATGTCCGTTTAATGCCTGGGGGTTATTTTCCATTTGATTTAAACTCTTTTGTATTCATAAGATGCCTCAGAAATAATTTCCAGTCAACCCAAACTATGCAAAATATAAGTTCCTCATTTCACTGAAACAGCAGTTCTTGCAAGCGACCCACCAAAAAGCTAGGAGAATTTGTTTGAAAACTTAATTCCATGGCACCATAATAGGCCTTCCTACAGGTCACAGGCATCCCCAAATGTATGTCAGTGTCTGTTCTCTGCTGCCAGCACCCCTGGACACTGCTCCACATAGCAAACATACTTTCCCTCATCTAGCCAGCCATGGCAACTTGCAACACTGCCCACATGAAAACTGTCTGACAGTAAGCTATAATGCCAGACCTGCTAGTAAAAAAGAAAAAAGAAAAAAGAGTCCAGCGTTTAAATATAGAGCAGCAGTGCAGACTCACCCTGAGGACCCTGTTGGCTGTAATAACAGGAGGCTCATCGTTGACAGCTGTAACCTGGATGTACACCGTCTGGGCTGCACTCTGCTTCCTCAGGCCTGTGTCATTGGCCACCACAGTGAAGTTGTCAGCTGAGGTCTCACTGCTGTCGTGGACATAGTAGATGAACTCGTGTTCCACCTGATTAAAGATTATCATAAAAATGATCAGGAAACACCTGAGATTGAAAATGCAAAGATTTTTGAGATGATATGAAACCATTAGGTCACTATTATCAATTACTCCATGATATAGATATAGGGGCAAAAACTAAACCAGTTATTTATTTGTACATTATTTTAAATAATTAGGAGCACAAACATATTAGAAAAAATATATATCAAGAGATTCTGACTAGGATAAGGTGAGATGAGAAGGGGTTCAAGCCACAGTAATGCTATCTTTTCCTCCCTTTAATGTTTTAATTTAATTAAGGATGAATGGTGTTACAAACTTTTTAAGCATGGCTGTAGATTAGAGTCAAATTTTAAAAAATTACACATTATGTAAAACAGTAAAAATTACTGCAATAATAATCGGTCACATTATTCATCGATCAATTTACCAGTTTAAGCAAATTATTCGAAACATTTCATTAAGAATACATTTTAGGTTACAATTTTCTTTTTAAAACGCTTGTAAATTTGGGTTGAATTTGATAAAACATCCTCTCCTCTAAATTCTTCTATGCCTCTAAAATGAGCATGATCTTACAAAAAATAGACATGACCTGTTAGTAATAGGCATAAAAAACCTTAGCACCACATTAAATCAAATTATTCATCTATCAACTGCCAAAAGCCAGGCTATTGCCATTTTTCCGTAGCAACTATAACATTGTCTGTAAGAATACACCCACCTGCCTCCTGGTGAAAGTGGTTATGGGCACACCGGGATGTCCAGAGTGCTCAATGTGACCATGATGTGGGGGCTCGGTCAAACTATACAGGAAGTTGATTCCAGAAAAGTGTCGGTTGGTGACTTTGAGCACATCCTGGGTCAGTGCCTTGGAGGCCCCCTCGTTCAGTGTGAAATTAGAGACCTGAAGTGGGATGAGGCGTGGGATGATGTCAACAGACATCCTAACGTCGCTGACATCAGTGATCCCGTTGGTGGCATCAAGGATAAAAGTGTCGTTCACTTTGCCGGGCTCCACCTGCATGTACTGGATGTTCGCACTGTTAATGTCCTCTTGGGTGAATGTCTTGACAGGAGACTGTTTGGTTCCGATGTAGCGCTCCTCCGCTTCGACAAAACGTCGGAGAAGGCCATGAGATGGGGCTACCTTGACTGTGAATACAATCTCAGATGGCAGGTTGTCCTCGTGAGTGAGCTGCAACAATCAGAAAACATGTTCATTGGTTATATTTGAAATGTTCCAAGCGTCACTAAAGTTTAGTTTCATTGTAAAATGTAAAAACAAACACTGGTCAGCATTCAGTTTCTACCCTTTCAGCAGCCTTAAACAACTCTCAGTCTTTTACCCGAACATTAGTGTAACACTGTCCTTTTATTATGGTTTAGATTATCTGCCAAGTGTTATTCCCTTCTGACAACATGACTACACCACAAGATGAAGGCTGTTTAATTAAATTCGTTTATAATCAATAATCATGCTAGGTTTAGAAACTCTTGGTTTTGAAATGTTTCAAATGAAACATTGTGCTCAGGTTCTACAAGTATGCATATTATTGTTATTAATATTATAATTCTTATTATTATTTTCTGTAAATGAGAGGTTTAGCGACCACCAAATAATCAAGAACAATAGACCTAATATGGAAATTAACTAAAAAAATGTTTTTGTGACATTACAATAATTAAATATAAATACAGAAAATATTGTCATGCCATATGAATAAAAAAGGATGGTATTGGCTTTCAACATGGCCATCATAGTATTTGAACCAAATTAAAAATTGCATGAATACTGATGATAAAAAATTCTTAATCTGTCTCTCACCTCCAGTTTAGTTTCGTCAATCTTCACTGGTTTTCCCTCTTCCACCAGTAAGGTGTTGTGATGCTGCACGATGGGTGGCCTCTGATGACTTTCAAGGTAAACCTTCACATTGATCCTCACTGCAAGTCGAAGACCTTTAGCTTTCACTGTTAAGTTGAAATAGTCTGCCAGGTGTTTGCTGTCATTGTGCCTATACGAAATCAGCCCATCCTTTAAGTCAGACTGTGAGAATGACTCCACCTTTGTTTCATTGCGGAAAAGTCTTCCATACTTGGGAGCCAAATCCAACATGAAGATGACCTCCTGGTCATCTCTGATGTCCAAATTTGATGTCACACTGAAATTACTGGTGGAAATAGTTACTGACCTGCCCTTCTGCACCAGAAGGCCAGTGTTGATGCCAACATTCAAGAAAGGGTCATGTGCACTGATGTCTAAAAGGCTTGATATAAAATGTTTTCCATCTGAAACAAAGAGCACAAACCTGCCAGTGCTCACACCTTTGTGAATGAACAACACTCGCTTTTCTTCCAAATCCTTTTGTCGAAACTGGAACAGTCGATGAGTAGTGTCATTAACCAGCACTAGGTCTCCCATCGGAATTCCACGTCGAGTGTAAATCAACTGGCCATCATCAAAATCAGAGTCTGCATCATGATAACGCAAATCATCTATAGTGAGTAACTTCTGTCCATCCCTTACTACATGGAAAACTTTATCAATAACACGTACCGGCTTTTGGTCATTCAACAGCTGAATAGATATGTTGAACATTCCTTCTTTGGAGCCAATTTCATCTTCTGCAATGGAAGATTTGAACCCTTGCCTAGTGGAGGCTATGAAAGTGAACTCGTCTTGAGTTGTTTCACTGTCATCATGGATGTACATTATCCGTTCCTCTAATATATCTTGATTACTAAAGGTTAAGATGTTGTTGTAGCTAGCATTTGAATTTGAGTGACTAATCCGGGCTAGCTTTCCATGTTTGGGGCTGCTTATGACTGTGTAGTACATATCCTTTGTACTCAAAGTCTCTGCAAAAAGATTATCTTTCGTGATAAGTTTACTTTCTCCCTCCTGAAGTGAGAGTCCATCATTTCTCATAAACACATTGTTGACATCAGCTTTAATAGAAAACTGGAAATCATAGTTTTGTGACTGAGCATGCCTGGAAATCAGCTGAAATTTGAACCTGTCACTTGTATCTTCATAAGGCCTGTCAACTAGCTCATAATGTACTTTTAGATCTGTTACATCTCTTTGGCTAAAGGTTGAGTTCTTCCTCAAGACTGTGGCATCGAGCAGGAGTTTCCCCTTCTTTGGTGTGGTGAGAACACGAAAATAAAGGTCTTCCTCTGAGAGGGCCACACCTACAGCTGTGGCAAAAAGATGCTCTGAGTCCAGTGTCACTTTTCTAACTTTATCCATGTCTATCACAACATTCCTCACCAGATGGTAATTCACCCATTTCACAGTGATTGGGAAAAGTATTTCAGTGGCTGCCCTTGCAGCCACATTAACTTTGCTTTTAAAGTAATCAGTGGCATTGGATGTCTGGATTTCTTGAAAAGTGCAAATATACCTCAGGCGCTCCTTTTCTAGAAGCCTTTGGGAAAATGAGTCAGTGGGCCTCCATTCCCCGCTTGAGTGAAGTCTCTGGAGTTCTCCATACTGAGGGGGCTCAATGATATCATACCGAATGTCTACAACTTGTTTCAAGGCATTGGTCTGCACAGCAAGTTGCTTTGAACCAATTATAGCTGTCTCTCCCTGAATTATCTCAAGGCCTGTGTTGTTGGCAATCTTATACTCCAGCGCTATAGCCATGACCCTCAGAACCACGGTGTTGCTGACCTTTTCCCCATCACTAACTCTAAGAACTATCCTTGAGTTTCGAACCCCTGTGTGAACATAGTACACCCTCAGATCCTCCAAGTCTAAATATGAGAATGAGGTCACTGCCTTGCCAGGGTTGTTTTCTATTTCCAAATATCCTGCGTCAGCGTTCAGGTTACCAAGCACAGAGAAGACAAGGTCGGTGGGGCTGCTATCAATGTCTGTGGCCTTCAGAACATCCGTGGTGAGGCGTTTCTTTGAGTTCTCCAACAGGACAAAGAGATTTCCTTCAGGGAGGCTCAATTCAGGTGCATCGTTGGTGGGTGTCACAGTAATATTGTAGCGGTACAATTTGTTGCCCTTCAGATAATCAGGAACTTGCTTTCTACTGCTAGAATACAGCGAAAACATGAAGAAGTCATCTTGTTCCTCTGAGCCTCCATGGATATACATCACTCGTCCGTGCCAAAGGTCCAACATGCTGAAGGTGTTCTCCTCTTGGTCCTGATCAACATCAAGCCTTATCTGACCACGAATTGGTTGCTCCCGTATTCGGAACATGATCTGAGACTGTCTAATTCCAAGCTTCTTGAAGTCCAAGAGTACTTTGATGTGTTTGGCCTCAAGAGATGCTCGACCACCTTCCTGGACCACAAGGTTTTTGAGCTGCACAAAATTCCAGCCATATCTTCTGTCCAAGCCCCTGGCGACAGTAGACATGTGAAGTGAAGACGGTGTTGGTGTCACCAAGTGAAAGAAGGATCCCGGAGCACTTGTTGGACTCACAGGGGTGGGTAGTTCTGGCTCTTTCTCTGGCTCACAACCAACTGAGATATCTTTGGTGACTACAGCATTGGAGAGACCCATCTTCACTCTGTTGACTTCAATGTTCTTCAAACATCCTTTAAAGGAACCACCTCTGACACGCTTTCCAGACACAGAGACAAGCCCTGCCTTTCTGACTTCTGATCTGGTGCTGTCATCGATACCTCCAACAAAAAGATAACCTTTAGGCTGAAACCCTTTCGAGCGAGAGCTAATGCTGATTTTCACCATCTCTCCATCAATAGAAAGCTCAAGGCTTTTGGAACTGAAATGCAACTTGATAGAGTGCCATTTCCGGTCATTGATGAATGTGAGGGAACGAAGCTCGGTTTTGGTTCCACCTTTTCCAATAATAGCCACTGGCAAACCTTCCTGGATCTCCAAAGCCACAAAGTCCCCTTCTCTGGCTGAATTGTACAGGATAATTCCCTCTTTGGCTGACGTGTGCACAACACACTCAAATACCGCTTCCTGCTGGGCATCCCAGGTTCGAAGAGAAATGTAAGCCCTGGAGCTGAAGAAGCTGATAGGATCCTCCTCGGTTGCAAAGAATTGGGGACTACAGCCTAAAGACACCTCATGGACATTCTTGAATCCGGTATATGGCCTCAGTGATGACAGCAAGTCATGTTCATTGAAGACCACCTCGTCCATGCAGCCTCGGAAGCCGATCAGGTCTCTGGGGAGGTAAAGTCTGTCCAGGCTTCCTGAGCCTCCAACATACAGACCATCCAAAATGTTAAGATCATGATGGGAGCCTGGCATCTTGACACTCGTGTGAGAGTTCTTGTCTACAGTCAGACTGACGTTGTGCTGCACATGGCGGACCTCCACAGAGTGCCAGGCCAGGTCATTGAGCTGAGTGGCGCTCTCTGACTGTAACATTTGCTCCCCCGATCCAAGGTCCAATTTCAGCTAAGAGAAGAGACATAACAGCTGGATTACAAAATACACTATATTACAATAATAAAGGGTAAATGCACATATTGATCTAAGTAGCAATTCGATTTAAATTCAAATTAATCCATTTAGAATAGATCTGTGATGTCCCATGTCACAGATGATTTCTGTTATTGTTAGCCACGAGCCTCGAGGAATGGCAGTGTCAGTTTGTCAGTCCACCACTTTGATCCAAACTAAAATAAGAACTATTGGATGGATTGCCATGACATTTTGGTACAGACTTTCATGGCCCCTTGCCCTTTTCTCTAGCACCACCATGACTTTGTTTGTTATATATTAGTTTTGTTGTGAAATGTCTTGGCAGCTATTGAATGGATTACCGTAAAATTCTAGTGCAGACATTCATATTCCCAAGAGAATGAGGCTTACTGATTATGATGATCCCCTGACCTTTCCTCTAGCACCAAAATAAGTTTGTTTTCTTTTTGTATTTTGGTGAAACGTCTAGAGATCTGTCATTAAATTTGGTACCAATATCCATGGTGCCGTGAGGATGAAGCCAGCTGATTTTGGTGATCAACTAGTTTTCCCCCATCTACATCTAGTTGATGGATGGGTACAAAATTTTTAATTGGCATTCTTGGTTCTTAGAGGATGAATCCTGATGACTTTGGTGAACCCTTCACTTTTCCTCTAGCGCCTCCATAAGGTTGATGTGTGTGGTTTTGAATAAAATGTCTCAACAACTATTGATTATTGGATGGATTGCCATAACATTTGGTAGACATTCAGCTCCCTCTAAGATTCCTTAACCTTTCACCTAGCGTCATTACTGGTCATGTTAAACTAGGTGAGCATTGTAAACATTATACCTACTAACCATCCTAGTATAGTCTCACAGTGCCTCTACCTCTACATGCTTAAATATGTTGTATGTATGATCATTAAGACAATATTGTTAAACACATGTTTTTTAATAACACATAAAACATATTTACATAGCATTATAAATGCTTGTCTCTATGACCTAAGACAGTGTGACAAAATGATGGAATGGGAAATACAGGATTTAGACTGCTTATACTCCATGATGTCACCTGTTGTTATAACAGTGAGCGTCGTCTGATTTAAAGCAGGAAGAGAACTTTTTTCTCTTCGCCTTCAGCTTCGTCCTCAGAGCATCCTGTCACCATCTCAAACTAATGCTGCATTTAGATGACGTGCTTGTCAAGGCTTGCTGCTGAGTCCCTGCTATTCATGCACGGGTTTCCAGCTCATGACTGACTCACGTGGAATGAGACCCCAAGCCCGAGGATGACTTGAGCGAGTGAACATAAAAAATTATTTGATGACCTGTGCCAGTTTAAGGAACAAGGAAGAGCGATTCACTCCTCGTGCTCACTGAAATACAACAATGCCACACAGTCGTCAGTGTGAATTAGTCCCGTTTGCACAAGTCTAACACGAATGGAAGCTTAGTCACAAGGACTTTTTGATTTTGATGCACAAAAGGTATAATGCATGTCTTAGGACTTTCTGTGTTTCTTATGAATGTGTCTGCATATTAAGAAGGCTTCCTACAGTACCTCTGTCCATTCTGTATGCTGATTTAGCTTGGCAGAGCTGCTTAAAAGATGCTGTAGAAGCAGTCTTGAAGGGACAAATGTATTTCACCCTTAAATCCTTCCAGCAAGGCTTGTGCTAAAAATAGAGTACCCGGTTTGGGAACACAAACCCATTATAAATGTTCCTAAAGTGTGCCCACACATTTTGTTATTAAATCAGAAGAAAACTTCCAAAGGTGTGTATTGCAGGTTGAGTTTATTTCTATTATATTTAGAGAATATTAGTCTTTTTTTCACACGGTTTCATTTCAGTGTAACATTACAGTTTGGAATTCGATGCCTTGAGGGGATATACACTCTCTGTGGAATGCTCATTATTAACTATTACCAGTCAATTGATTATTATGGTCAGCAGTACCGCTCTCCTTTTCTCATTTCTCACCTCACCTCCTCGACTCCTTGCTCCTCGACTACTCGCGTGGCGTCCCTCCCAATCGAGATGCAAGTGGAGGAGTCGAGGATCAAGGAGGCACAAAATAGGGAAATGAGAAAGGCCCTGGGTCTGTGTGGTGTGTGATTGGGCGTGGCGCTCCGGCCCACCTCTGCCACACACACAGATCCTTGTGTATATAAACCCCAGTCCTCCGCTCCATTTTTTGCCAGATCATCAGTAATACTACGTGATACAGTGCTATGGCTCCAAACATACCAGTGAGTGATTCTACTTTTTGATTGTGTTTGATTGTGTTTGTGCCATTTGCTGGAGAAACCTGCCCGCCTGCCTCAACCTAATGGATCCTCTACCATCAAGACTCAGTGTTTGCTCATTCTGTGCTGTGCAAATAAACTGGACTTGAACCTTTTCCCCTCCGCTCTCTGTCTGTGTTTCTGCACTTGAGTCCAGATTACAACATGTCACAACATTGAGTGGAACAAATTTCAATTAAAAAACTTTCTGATATCTGTTATGTTTGCTTTTCAACTGACTGAGGGTTAAAGGACGGATTTTGAGCGGTACCTCTCATGATTGAATCTACCAAAAGGTAGACACTCACTGAACCAACACATTTATGGCAGCACAGTCGGACAGCATTACAACAAGTGACAGAAAATAAAGTAAAAAACTGCTGATTAATCTTATAATGTAGGCTATTTCACTTTCTGACCTGTAATCAAATAAAGCAATTGTAAAATTAATAAACCTCATAACCACTCTGTCATTGTCATCACTCAATTTAAAGTGCTCCCACACAGCTGAGGTCTGCAGCATTTTGTTTTTCCCTTTGATGTGAACAGGAGCGTTACATTCACTGCTGTGAGAGGGATGTCAGGGGTGCGAAAAAAAAACCCTGATATTTGAAAACCAAAATTGAAAATTGAATATATGGCTGTATATATAATTATTCAAATACAACAAAGACACAGATCTGCTGCTTTCATAATCTTCTAGTTTCCACTGTGACATGAAGTGACTTGTATGGAGTTAGCACTCAGCTCACACCATGAAGGCTTGTCTGCTTGTGTTACTGTGTTGAGAGACTGACACTGTCAGCTGAGATGGAGCAATAGCTTAAGGTGGTCACTGCATGTGTGCCATGTCTTTTTATACGCATGTATGTGGTCAAGCACTGAAGATCTGTATGTATTGTTTGACTGTACATATGTATATATGGGTGTGCTCATGTATGCTTGAACACATATGCTCTTGTGCTGGGGCAAAGGATGTACCCACCTGCAGGCGACCAGCATGGAGCTCTAGTAGGAAGTAGTTGGCCTGGCCCGCGGCGAGAAACAGCAGGCCGTTGGTGCTGGAGGTTCGGAAGTGAACGCGGAGCATGTTACGGTCGGATGACTCTGTTGCCTTGAGCTGTACAAAGCCATCGCCATAGAAGGAAGCTGGAGAAAGAGAGATTAGAGATAGATTTTCAATAAGAGAAAGCAGAGAACAAGAGGGGAGCACTGATGTGTTCAAATGTGGTGTTCACTGTCTTTTGCAGGCGCCAGAATGCTGAACGCTCTTTTAAACTGGGCTGACTATGAAGGAGAACTGGAACAGAAAGTACAGTAGCAGTGAACACAGCAAACACAGAGCAAGTCAAGTCAAGCATTGTGGTCTTAATATAGCCAACATGTGACATTTAGATATAAAAGCCAGGCTAATTATCATCCCGGTTGTTCTTTACACACACACACACACACACACACACACACACACACACACACACACACACACACACACACACACACACACACACACACACACACACACACACACACACACACACACACACACACACACACACACAAACACACACAGAGCTTTATAACACACACTGCGCACAAATTATACCTCACCTGATTTAAAACAATGATTGTAAGATGAGTTTAGCCTTTCTGGTGGGCCAGTTACGTTTGTACTTTCAGCACTAAACCAAAAAGATTTTTATGCATTCAAGTACAACAAGAGTACAATTATGACACAATAAAAGCTTTACCCAGAATAATAACCATCTTTAGGATGAAACAAAACTCCAGCATGTGCATCCCGACAGAACTGCAGGTTTATGTCGCCGCTCGTTTGTAGCTTTAGGAGAAAGTTGGTCGTGGACTGTCCAAAACCGTAGGAATGACATAGCTGAATTTTAAAGCTTTTTGACTTTAATGCCACAACAGCTGTATACAAACTGAAGCAGAGGATGTGGAGGTGGCTTGGAGGGAGTCAGACATGTTAGGGCCTGCCCTGCCCTGACAGGAACCTTCAACCTGAACATGAAAGGCTCTGACGTCCCCACATTGTCTGTGGCCCCATGTTCCAGGAACAGCGTGGAGGACGGACCCAGCTGTTTCTTCTACCTCACCTCCCAGCCATCTCACATCACCCTGTAATCTGGGCTAACATGCTCTGAAGCTTTCTAATCTAAGCCTCCATGCCCGGGCACCACCAGTTCAGTTTTTAATGATCTCCACAGTCCCCCGCATATTCAAAGGTTAACAAACAATCTTCGCCTCTGTGAAGAAACATGTCCATTCCATGTTTGATTTATTTGTAGTTCATGACCCAGGGCAAGAATGGCCCGCTAATGGTCCAGAGTGACTAACTGTGGGAAGTTAGATAAAGTTAATGTGAGTTAATGTATTTTTGCTTTTTTTTTTTTTTTTTTTTACTTCTAAAAGGGTTAATGCACTAATGGGTAGTTTGCTTGACCAAATCCAATCTGAATGGACTGTGCAGTAAATTCAACACAATTAGACCAGTAAAGCATGTAAATTAGCCCTGCAGCCATATCAATATACAATCATCAATTAACAGGAGCTGATTGCAAAGACACAAAAACTATTTAAATCAACCTCAGTGTATCAAAAATATCATGCATTTTCTGATAACACGTATGCAAAACCAAAATCAAACAATCAACATTATATGTTCTTACATTTTCACATAATATGTATTTATGTATACTGATTTTTTGGTTTGTGAAAAGCCAGCTCAGTCTTGGTGCGACGCCCATATTTAAAAATAAATCTCTGGTTTTAACTGACTAAACAAAACATTGCTTAGATCTCAGTAAAAAAAGAACATAGGACAATAGGGGCAAATTGAAGCTAATTTTGTATCACTGAGATTACACATTTTTCTATCTTCTAGACTGAAATACAGTGACATCTTCAAATATCTTGTTTTGTCCGACCAACAGTCTAAAACCCAAAGATACCGAGTTTACCATCACATAAGACAAATAAACCCAGCTGATTCTCACAAAACAGAAGCTGGAACCAGGGAATATTTTGCTTGAAAAGTGACTTTATTACTTTATTAGTATTAAAGCATACCATACCAAACCCACAGCTGGAAAGTAAAGTGTGCAATTCTTTCATTAATTTGTTTATCCCAAAGAAATGTTTTTCTAGTCAGCCAGCTTCCTTTCATATCAAGTAGCAGCACATATTTTCCAGTGAACCTCACATGGCTGCTCCCATCTCTTATTCCCCACTATAGCCAGCTTTGGTGCATATTTTGTGAACAACCCACTATCTAACTAATTCACACACAGTAATATTTCCAAGGCCCTGAACCCCCAGCTGAATAATCAAGTACAGGGCAGACACACACTTGACAAAGTTTTGAATATCTTTAAAAATATATCCTCCAGGTGTTTACTTTTCACAAAACCTCTACCTGATGATATCCAGGCCTAGGCATTTATACCTACTATATAAAATGATTAAATATATAACATGTTAAATTAACTGCCATTAACTGACCAGTCAGGTGTAATGCACCTTTAACAGCAGTTAAATACAGCTAGAAATAACAAAATTGACTGGCCTATAGCATCCAGCACTACTCTGACCCTGAGTCAGACTGACTGACTAAATTTATTGTCCTTTCTCATTTATACGTCATGTTCATTCATCTGACTGGCTGTGTGCAACAGGGAGGAAGCATTTTCAAAAACTGGCCAAGAGGAACGCAATAGCATTTTTCCCTTAAATTCACAAGGATGGACATGCATGCTAAATTGTATTCTGGCATTGTCACGCCGACGTCATAGGATTAAAACCAGTACAAAAACAAGACATAATGGTCTTCCCCACAGTTCACTTCTCTAGAGGGAACTGGGAAAGCTGTAAAAACACAGCAATAAGGTTTGGAGTACGTGTTTGAAAGAAAATGTTTCTGCTTTCTTTGACATAGACATTTTGTGGGTGTCGGGGGGTATGCAAATGAAAGAGCACAGTAGCCTGCCAGAAAACAATACAATAACCACACGTTACCACACGTGTACACCTGACTGTGCCTTAAGAAGCAGAAACAGGAGTTGTTTGGGAGGTTGTTCTGTAATCTACATGTCTGCAGGGGCCGTTTCAGTGCGTCAGGGACATTTTTTTTGTGAGAATTCAAAACAACAAAACTAGTGACCTTTCAGTGAAGACCCGCTTACAGTTAATTTGAGGGGTAAGACCAGTGCTTGTCGCTGCCTGTGTGCTCCGTTTATACAACAAATCAGAGATGCAACTTGACTGAACTGACTGCCTCTCTGATGCACTGTCAAAGCCTGGGACGTGGATGTTTTTAGCAATGGCTTATTTCATAATCCTACGGGCATACAGAGGATACATATAGTGAAATGCACTGAAGTAAAACAAATGTCTATACTGTACTTGTTAACAATGAAGGATATTGTCAGTGTGAGTCACAGTGAAATAATTCCTGATTATCTCCAGGGGCAAAGCCCGGCTGGATGCTGAATCAGATGACACATGCACAGGATCAAATCAACCAGAGACTAACGAATGCACACGTGAATGTAAATAGTATGAAGTCGTAACTAACACATTTGCCCCCTTATATCTCTCACTGCAGCAACAATGATGTCCATTTCTATGATTTCACTTGAGCGTGCTATTGTCACCATCAGATAGTTCTTCCAGTGCAGTGAGCATCACAGTCCCATTTCTGCTGCTGCCTCTGATAAGGTGAGAGTATTGTGTGTGCTTACAGTAGTAGAGCTGCAACAATTAACCCATTAGTTATCAACTATTAAATGAATCGGCAACTATTCTGATTTCCAATTAAAGCGGTTTGTGTAATTTCTTCAAGATAAAATATCTAAATTCTCTGATTCCAGCTTAAATGTGATGTGATATATTTTCTGGTTTCTTGACTCCTCTGTGACAGTAAACTGAATATTTTTGGGTTGTGAACAAAACAAAACTTTTCAGGACGTCATCTTGGGTTTGGGGAAACACTGACTGATACTTTTCACCATTGACATTTTATAGAACAAACAACAGTTTGATTAATCCAGAAAATAAAGGACAGATTAATGGTCAATGAAATTAAACGTTAGTTCCAGCCATATACAGTACACTGCATATCCTGTGTGTGCACCCTGCATGCACAGATTATTCTAAATCTAGTGCAAGTCAATGCTTATATTACTGATGTTATTAGCCTCATTAATTTGAAAAAATCCAAACATGACTCACTGATGTCGCTGGAATGAATCTCAACATTGCAGCCAAATACCCACAATCCAGTCCTCATTCACAATGTATTCAATTCTGTTAGGTGTTACACTAAAAGGTTAACATTTTAACACCTGTGAACTACCACAGCAGCTCAACAGCATGTACAGAAAACATTACAATCCTCTGTAAAGTGATACTAAGCCTGCTCTGGGAGACACACTCATGATGTTACAGAAATAGTGCTGCAGCCTACATATTTGAGGAAATCACAGCCACAGCCATATGGTCATGTTTGGGGTTGTTATTTCATTTGTTATGACCATTTAAGTGGTAGTTACAACCTGGCAATCCCAAGTAGCCTTCAGGGTGAAACTAATTCCTCAGTAAACTACAAACACTGGAAGAAACTCGTCAAAGTTAACGAAGAATGAAGAAATGGTTACGGTATTAACAAATCGCCATTGAAAGCACCATCATATAAGGTTATGCCTCGGTTGTTTTCACTAAAAAAAAAAGGTCGAAAAGTTGCAGCTTATTACCTCCCGACGCCAGCTCGAGCAGGAGCGACCACCAAAGCAGACCTCGGAGCCACAACTTCTCCATATTTTCTTCTCCCGGTGGAAACACCAATGTCAGTTAGACTGTAGTTACATATTTACAGGCCTGTTTTCACTTCTTCATGCTGCGGAAACGCCAAACACATACAGTTGTGCAAATCCCCCAAATGGTGTGAATGAGTGTGTGAGAGGAGCTTTCACTGCGCCGTAGACCCTGAGCTTAACTGAGGCACCGACGTAGATCCCTGCTAAACTCCGCCTAGTGCGTTCCTCTCAAAGAAAAAGGGCACGCTAATCTCAGTTTTCAAAATAAAACCCTAACCCTAGAAGAAGGAGGGGGGAAATGCTGCAGGCTAAAGTTTCAATCAAACAACATGCGACAAAACAGACATTTCAAGAGTTTTAATTAATCTGACTTTCATGAGCTTTTATTAAACGTAATGTAAGTGAACATAAAATAAGATTAAGCTGAAAGCGCTATTTATTAATCAGAAGTTATCATGTTACAAATGAATTCACTTATAGCGGTTGCAAGAGCTCAACAGAAAATCTATAGTCTATGATAAAGCATAAAAAATACAATAATTTTGTAAAACGTGTAATTAAATGTTCACATTCCTGCTGCTTGTATATGAATGCTTTCTTAATATACTTTTTCTTATTCTCTATTACGTGCTTCAATAGATTTTAATACATTTTAACTTTGTATATTTATGTTTTTATCACATCATTACCATACTGATGCAATATTTTTACTATATGGTACTTAAGTATGTATGTATAATACACTTCAGACACGATACAAGCATGTGGTAAAAACAAACACTGTACTTTCATATACATAGCATAATACTGCACTTCAAAAATACATGATTTTTTTTGGACTGTTAATATAAGTACCTTCTGTAATTGCTGCTGCTTGGTAAAAAGTGAGTATAATATCCGTGTGTGCGACAGATTTGTAGTACGGTAATAAAGACAAAAGGCAAAAAAGATTTCAGGTCCTTCAGGGGGGTTTACTGTGTCTGATAAATAAATAGTTATTAAATATACAACATTACAATGAATCAAGAAATCATTCGATAAAAACATGCAAGTTAATGAATCAAAGTGCTGCAATGTCAGTAGTTGGCCTAGAAACTGAGGTACAGATTCGCTGACTGGACTCCTGTCTCATTACTATGTATTAGTGTGTTTAACTTGTTTTTCATAATATTGTTATTGCTTCCTGTTTACTTACTTTACTTTACTGCAATCTGGAGAACGTCTATACAAGATATTATTAGAACGATATTATCCAGATTGCAGTCCAGGTTTTTTCAGAATATAGAATAAAATTAGATGCAATTCCTGGAAGTGTTCAAGGTATAAATCATTATCATGGAATCACAACTTAGAGAGTCAATTTAAATTCAAGGTTAAATATGATTCAGATGAGGTATCAGAGCAGATACTGTAAACAAAATACGCGTATGGCACAATCAGTAAAGTGTATGGCACAATCAGTAAATATCAGTGATGGATGGATGTTTTTCTGATCTGATGGGGACGTCAGCACGTTCCCAAAAGGTTTCTGCACTCCTGTTTGATGCAGCTGTAGATGGGATGGTAGAAGTGCCTGTCTGATGCCATGAGGTCGGTGACAATCTCAGTGTGGTCAACTCTGGGCAGCAGGTAGAGCGAAACCTTTATGGACAGCGAGGTGAGGAGCTCTGAGAGCTTTGTGGAAGATTCAACAGGCACGATTATGTCACTGGTCCCGTGGAGCAAAGCGAACGTAGGCACTCTGAAAAAGAAAAGAAAACAATGGGTGAAAAACTTTGTATTCAAAATAAATAACAGATGTGACAGGTTTAATTGTTGCTAAATCCAAATAAATCCAAGTTTGTTTTGTGTCTTTTTTTCTCACCTGTTCAGTTTGTCCTGGTTGAACTTCTTCAGTATGTGTGTTGGTGAGTAGTACGGGAAGTTCTCTACTCCATTCATGGCTTTGTGCATGGTGGAGATATATTCAACTCCTCGCTTCTGCTCGTGCTCATAATGGTCCATAATGTCGTATACACCACTCAGACCTGTGCGGGAAATATGAGAGATTAACTCATTCGCACAAAATCCCCGCAGTCATGTAAATTTGAAGGGATGTTTGTTTAAAGTCCTTTTCATTGTGTGAAACTGGAAGAATTTCACTGTCCTCAAGTCATAACAATAGAAACATGAACAACATGGATGCAACTGTGACTGAAACTTGGTGATGCACAGTAGCGCTTACCAATAACTCCTTTTATCGCCAGTGTAACGTCCCTCTGCTTGCTGGGCTCTATGAAAAGCTCCTCTCTTGAATCAATGAGAAACAGTGCGGTCAGTGCACACAAATGTGCACCTGCTGAATGGCCAATCAACACTATGTTGTCCTATAAAAGACAGAAAAACAAGACAACATATTTAATCTTCCAGTAACATTGTGGGTGTGCAATTATCATTATTCACCAAAATTAAAACATCAGTATTTTAATGTTGCTAAATTAGAAACAGATTAGACTGTTAGGCCACTCAAACTGAGAAAAACATTTTAGGATTTATCGATGATAGATAGATAGAGAAACTGTGAGCTTAAAGGTCCCATGAACTTGTTTTAAGATTCTGATTCTAATTTCCTATGACTTCTCCATGGATACAGGACATTTTAAGATACCTGCGGGTTTTACATGATTTTATAGAACCTTTAAAAGTTTTCCTTATTTTGGGGGTTTATAATAAATGGCCAATCTTGCCATTATTATCTGACAGTTTTCCTCCATTTCCAAAGAATACTTCAGGATATTACTTACTTTGTCAAAGTTGAACTTCTGTCCACTCTCTTGGGCCCAAACCAAGCAGTCAGCAATATCTTGGACCATTCCTAAAACGTTCCCCTGGCAATCAGATGAAACCAGCTGTCAGTTCAGATACCACAGTTACATTTAGAATTAAATTTCTTATCTGCCGTCACTGCATATAATTCTTACAGTTATGAGCTATGATTTCGGTTCATCACACTCTACATACGTGCTATAAATCTTTAACAGTAATGCCAATAAGACTACTGTGTGTTGTTTTAGAGCTCTTACCTTTGGATAGGTGCAGTAATCAGGACAAATGACAGCTGCACCCAGTTCTTCAGCCATCTGCCTGGCCAGCAAACAGTAAATGGATCTGTCTCCAGAGCCCCATGCACCTCCATAAATGAAAACCACCAGCGGTGCAGCCACATCTTTAGACCTGCCCACGTTTGGAGGGTGGTACAAGTCCAGCTTGTTATCTCGGCGGCCGAATGGGATTCCCTTAGAAGTATCCAGACAGACAAAACTGTGAACTCTGACACCATTTTTGGTATTGCAAAACAACTTTTCCAGGGACAACATCAAGTGGTGAAAGCAGAGACAAACATAACAGTGTGATTATTTTATTTTAGATATTTACAGAAATGTCTTGTCCCTACCATGCACAGACACAGACACATACACTTATCCTTAACATACCTTTTCATAATGCTTACGGTTTTCGGCATTCTTGTACCATGACTTCCACTGAAAGTAAAGTCTCCCATACTGCACATATTTGAGAGTTTCCAGCACAGCTCTGGTCAAACAGTATATTCGCCTGATGGAGAGGCCAAACATGAAAGAGGGGATTAATAACTGAACTTTTCCTAATGAGTGAAAAACTGCAGCCGAGCTATATTTTGAGCGGCAAAGAAAAGTTGTACAATAGTAAGTTACCTTGGTTTTAGAGCTTCCATGTACTTCTTATATCCAGGCTTGTTGGGCCAGCCATAAATCCACTGGGCAGCTAGAGAGATGGAGTACGGAAAGCCCACCAACATGAAACCCACCGCCACAGGCAGTGACATGTGATATTTTAACAATGACCTTCAAAAGTAGAAAAATATTTAAATTAAGATATTACTCTTTCAAAAAAATTGTCACTCAATGTTCTCAAAAATGTTATCTTTGAGGGGCTCTTACATGTTGTGGTTCAATCTGACTGTCTTCCCTACAAAGATCAGAACATACAATGTAAGTGACAGGAAAACATATCATTTGTTATATTGTTATCAGACACACAACAGGTAAAGTGTGAAATGATAATGCATCCACACAAGGTGTACACTGAGGTTGTAGTTTTCTGTACCCCTTTCTAATCTTTTCTACTTTCTATTAAAAAGATTTTATAGATCCATTATAAGATATTAATAAATAAAGATATTGGGTTGCCAGGTTCATCATCAGGTTCATCAGGTAAAAGCTCCAATAGACAGTTTGACCTGGAAACTTTCAGACAATTGCTGCAGAGCATCTGAACCAAGATCCTTTTATTAATAACTTATTAACATTTACAAGACTTGATGGAATGTTATACAAAACAATTTTTAACATATTAACATATAAAATTACAGATTAATATATAACATATAATGTTATAAATATTGCTGTTGGATTATTAGAAAGTGAGGCACATGTGACCCTTATTATACTGACTTATTAACATTTGTAACTGCTTGACTAACGCTTAATTATTATGATGATTAATGACTTACCAGCATGAGAGATTTTTGACAACCTGGCAACTGAACTGCTGTTCTAATTAATGGCTTATGACTTATCTATAGCGCATTAGCATTAACGCTTTATACATTATTGATAAAGTCATTAGTTATAACTTATAAACACTTGATAGAGGGTAACTTGTAAAGTGGTACCCAGTTTTCTTTACATGCGTACCAGGATGCCCTCTAGTGGGCCTTTAATAATGAAATAACACAGCCAGGAAGAAACAGCTTCATCAGTGTTAACGTTATTACCTCAACTTTGCATAAAAATAACACAGACATCACACAACGCTTCTGTAAGGGCTACGACACTACGTTACAGCATAAACTGATGTTTGCTAGCTATGAGCTACAGTACGGCTACAACGGCATCAAAGCAATAACGTTAAGATGTTATTTTCCCCTGCTTATCGTAATTTCAGATTCATTAGCCAGACCACTCTCTCAACCTCCTACTAACAGAACAACTGTTGATTTAGCAGTTAACGTATTAGCAGTAAAATGTTCCTAACGTTAGCTTATTATTTGCTTCAGAAAACAACGGAAAGGTCCGGACTACACCAACATAGACATACCAAAATATGAAATTAAATAGCACTTTACGCCGAATGGTTTGTTGTAATTATTTGTGTAAGAGGAACTA